AAAATAAAACACTTTAAAAGCCTTACACTTACTTATTTATGACTGCCTAATAGATCCTATATCCTATATAATTATCATAACTTGTAAACTATTTTCTGATTTTGCTTTGAGCTGCTTGTCACAGAAAAAAACAGGTTTTGAGGCAACTTTTATTCTGTTTCCACATCTGTCATTGAAAGGTTTTATAATTACACTGCTAGTGAAGCAAATGAAGGACATTCTGAGAGCAGGCTATGTTGCACAATGTAGGTAAATGCAACACATCCTAAGGACAAACATTGGTCAAGAGTGCTTTCTTAGCTGCCTCAAACAATATAGACACAGGAGTTGAATTTCAGTTTATGAAAGTGGGTGTGTGTTCTTTCCATGAGTCCGTTTTTGTATACTTAACCTCCTGAAAGCTGGGTTGTTTGCTTTTTTTTTTTTTCTTCATAGTGCTAGTCACACCTCAGAAAACCTTGAAAGTCTTTTCCTGCTCCTTCAGTTTGTATTTAAATGGCTCCAAACCCACTTATATTTTCCTGTTTACGTTGCTTTTGTGCTGTTCTGTTGATGTTTCCATCCTACCTCACTACCACCTTGTCCTGTGCTTTCTGCATTTCCTTTCCTCTTCCAAATAATCGTCAGACTGTCCCCAGCAACTCCCTAATGTCTAGGAATATCGGGAAGAGCACAGGGCATGTGGTACCTAGAGTCTATCCCTGTGCTTTCTGCATTTCCTTTCCTCTTCCAAATAATCGTCAGACTGTCCCCAGCAACTCCCTAATATCGGGAAGAGCACAGGGCACGTGGTACCTAGTCTATCCTTCTCAGAGGAGAGGCTATGTTTGCCAAGCTTTAAAAACAAGAGGCAAAGAATTCAGCAAGATATAGACACCTGGGATGGCAAACTTCAGGATGGCTTTTTATTTTTAATTATGAGCAATATTTTAGAACTGAAAGTCTTAATTTTATCTGTAGACAGTGTGATCAGTGCTTATAAATGCTATTGCTGTCTTGCTCCAGTGACTTAAGTTATGTGTGAAGGATCCAAGTGGAGGTCACGAGATGTCTCTGATATGTTACTTAGTGCAGCTTAGCAGGAAAACAGATGTCTGTCTAGACATAGAGTTTTGTGTCCATAACAAATAGAAAGCAAGACAAAATCTTATCTCTTCAATAGTTGTTAATAGCAAAGTATCATTCTATAGGGAGAGAGAAAAAAACCCTCATGGTTATGAACCTTCAATATGAAACTGTATATGAAACTATTATTTCATATACAGTTGTCCTCCATTAACTGCAGAAGAAAGTTAAGTTGTTCGCTACAGCCTTTACTACCAAAATTACTACTGCTGCAGCCTCCTTAAGTGTTAAGCTATCCTTACTCTAAGTTCCTTTGGCTCCTGAGCCACAAAGGCAGAGATGGGTGAAAGTTTCACCTGGCATCACACCTGGCTAGTCATCCTTCAGCAAAATTCTGCCCAACTCTTATTTCTTGACAGGGACTTCAAATCAAATTCAAGTCCCTTTATTTTTTTAAATGCGCTATTTTAATTTCCAGGCATCCTGTATTGATTGTGCTTCCCAGCTATGTTTGCATAACTGTAGCTTAATATGATTTTATAACAGTACATTTCAACCTTGATAATGAGAATCACTTGCAATCAGACACTCTTCGAGTTCCAGACAAACATGTCTGTTATAACATTACACAATACTCCTAGAGAACATTGTTTTCCTATGGTTCACAAGGGTAATAAGTAAGTGGGCCATTAGTCATTCTACCGGTTCTCCATGTGTTTTCAAAACCAGCTATCAAATTTCCTGGTGGCAAATATTTCTTCTCCTATTTGCATTTAATGTTCTTCTAAAGAAACAGCTGACATTTATTTTCAGCTTATGATTAATCTTTACCCTGTTTTGTATTTGCAACACTGCTAGGATACTGTAGCAGCAAGTACTAGTATTTTTCCACCATATATGTTCTTTTCTCTAGAAAAGAACAAATAATTTAAATAGTCTTCTTTAAATTTGGCTTCAAAATTAAAAACCAAATAAAGGAAGCACAGGTCACAATTTAAAAATTTATATAAGATAAGGTAGTCCTGCTGGCCTTTGTCACATTTTGCCAGTTACTATGTTCAGGTATGGTTGAATTTGAACTCAGTTTTCCCAAGAATCACAGGGGACTTGGATTTTTTTTTTTTTCTTTAATCAAATTTCTGCCGAAAACAGGAAGCCATAGAAAAACACTTATTTTGCTGTAATCAAAGGTAAATTTCTTTACATGTCATAAAGACTGATAGAGTCTTTTGAATGCTCATAACAACTAATGGTATTACTAAGCTAAAACACCTAATTAAATTGTACAGTTATGATAGAGGATGTTACTCTAGACCAGAGAGGATTCTTGCTGAAATCAATATCCATAATTTTTATGCCTAAAGCTCTTACTGTTAAATATACTGCAACAACAACCATATTAAATCTTTCATGTGATACGCATTCCATTTGCTTCAGTAGGGACTGAATTTTTATGACCTTTTAAGTTGTACTAAGATTCTAATTCTCAAAATCTGCTTTTATAGCATTTGAGATGTGAATGCTATTTTCTGAATTAAAGGCCTTACTGTTAAAATTGCTTTTCTTGCAAATTACTGTAATTTAAGAAAAAAAGACCAGTCTGCAGTTTACCTGTTCTGATTGTTATGCACCAGGGGTTATTTTTGTTCATTGCATTTTTAGGAAAGATTTTATCAAAATTATTTATCCTAGAGCAGAGAAAATATTATTCTGTTTATCTTGTGCATGAACTCCCTGTCCATTAAAAAAAAAAAAATCAATTAGTAAATAAATGCAGAATTTGGATTGCCCACAAAAAAGCAGAAGTTTGTGTTTCAAACAGCATTTGAGGGTTTAAACTGATAGTGTTATACACACACAAAAGAAAAAGCCATATAAAAGAACAAAATAATGGTTTGTGGATATCCTTCTGTTTTTCTGTGGACTGCAAAGAATAATCAAGTAATATTCTACTATGTGTGTACTTTCACCCAGATTTTCATTATCGCATGAGAATCCCATGACATACAAATGCATTCCAAGCCTGGCTGTAGAATATTGTTTGCATTAGGGAATTTTAATTTTTTCCACATATGGTGGTTTACACTAGACTTTTTTCCCTCTGTTCATCAAAGTTAGGAGACAAAAATCCATGCAAAAGAACATGGATACAGTCTTTTGTGAAGAGGGCAGGAAACTGGTAGATATCCCCTTGATTTTTCTATTTTATGTATGAGGAATAGTCAAGACTTCAGACACAGAACAAGGAGGGCTGCTTCAGAATGGTGTAAGAAGGCTACTGCCTAGAAAGAAAAGAGCTGAGTGTGATGTTATATGAAGATATTTTATGAAAACAACTACTTGAAATGTTACAGCTCTCAGTGTGAAACAGAGGGGAAAGTGCTGCCTAGCAATTCTTTGAAGAGATGTGAGATTTTTTTCATTTTCAAGGGGCATTCATGTTTGATTTTTGTGGTTTTTGGTTTTTTTTTATTTTTTTAAAACGAATAATAATGGCTTAAGCGGGACGAAATTGGACTCTGAGCCTTAGTCTAGATGCTTTGCTTATTGATGTAGCACAAATTAGCTTCTGACTGAAACAAATATTTTTCTTAACTGGACAAAAAGCACGCAAGTGTCTTGAAGTGATACATTGTGTTAAACCATTTGTAAGATTTTAGACATGAAGGATTTTAACAAGAGATTTGTATAGTCAATTGTAGACACAAATGTGGTAGGAATAAATTGTTTATTAACTAAGGGAATAGGATATGTCAAACCTAGTTGGAGATCTATGTAAAGAAGTATGTAAATTTAGTTCAGAACATATGTGCTAATGTTAATAAAATGTTGTTTTGTTTTTCACCTTTCTGCAACATATTTAAACTCCAGTGCTTCCTTTTGCTCCCTGAGGTTGTGTGAAAGTGATAATGAATCAGCCCAGGACATCCCTCACTGCATGGTAAGTATGTGAGAAGTTGCTACTCACACACTCTGTAAGTTGGTACTTTACAGAGCTCCCACTGCCCACCATCTACCCAAATGGGTGAAAGTATTTTCTGAAAAGATCCTTCTTGATCCCAGAGGATTTGAGCAATGATCTGGCTGCTTGGTTGCTTGGCATGACATCAGCAAAGAAATCGCTTGTGTTTGACCTGATTGAACTTCCAGTCTTACCTGTTCCCTGAAAATAGTATGTGGTTGTTCAGTGGGAGAAGAGAGGTGGCATTCTAATACTGCAATGGTCATAGTTTTATGAGGGATTGCGATGTTTTAGCAGCAAAATGCAATCTTTAGTATTTTATAAGCATATTTCTATGCCTACGTTTTATAGAGAGTAACTTCTGGAACTAAGAAAATTAATTGTAACTGTTAACTAACTGCACAATTAATTTTGTTACTATTGTTAATATTTTATAAAACAGAAGTTAAATAAGGATTCTGAATGAATTCGTGCATGAATATGGCACAATACAAGCCCTAGAATTCAGAGAGACATAAAAACCCTGAGACCATAATTGCTCTAATGATGTCAATCTTTGTGAATCTCTTTGAAGGCAGAAACGATTAACTACTTGGAAATACTTTCACTATGAAGTTATGGGCTACTTTAACTTTAGCCTTTTCCAACATCCTAAGTCAAACCTTGGAATCTTCTTTTAATCTTCACAAAGGCACAGTGCACAGATACAGTATGTTATGAAAAAAATGAATTCTGAGCCCTTCCCAATCCTCCAAAAGAGATACACATATCAGATTAGGCACAGATTGAATTTAGATGTTTAGATTTAATTAAGTTAATCAACCACTACATTTAGTATTTCTTAAGGATAAAAATTACTGCAATGTGATTAATTTTACATTTTCTGACATAGAATCATTTCAGAAATTGCATAAATCCAAGACACAGGATATTTCATTGCCTCCATACCCTGAGATGGCTGAAAGGCCATTCTTTAAAATTCACAAATTGTGAGGCGATACAGGTTGCATCTTCTGTCATTCCAGCTCCCATCAGTGTACATCTCTACACATTTTTCTGTCCCTTGGCCATTAGGCTCATACTGGTGCCACTTGGTATAATTCAGGGGAGTGCCACTTATATACTTAAACTGACCTGAAGTCTCGCCCTCTGTAATGCCCAAGTAGGCATACTGATTATACTGTTTCACGATACCCAAAATAGCTTTATTCTCCTCCTCATTCATGGGAGTTGCAAGAGTTCCTCCAGCCTCTTCACAGGATTCTAGTGCAGATGCAAAATCAGCTTTCTTCCCATTGCTGGCAAGTATTTTCTCTCCTACTTCTCTTATTTTCCCATTCAAAGCAAGCACTAAAATATGAAAAGGAAAAAACAAAAGTTAGCCTTCTTAATTTCCTATGGCATATTAATTGGAAATCAAAGAAAGAGAAATCAAGAGATGAGAAAATTAGAAGTGGTAAGAGAAACAGAGGAGGGTATAGAAGGCAAAAATGAAAGGATGACGAAGAATAAAAATCTTCAATATTTTACCAGCTCACCAATTGTTCACTAAATATATTGTTATGCTGCTTGTGACCAACTGTCATTGTCGTCTCAGAAACAAGATTGCCCCACTAACATTTGCTACATACACTATCAGCCCTATTATAGTGTGCATACTGTCTAAAGAGGATCAATTTGTTTCAAACTTGATCAAGCGAAACAGAGAAATGATAATGATTGTGAATTCCTTCTCAGCACAAAACAATTTACCACCTTTAACAATCTGGCTGCTGATAGATAAAAAAAGCTAATAACATGGTACAAGACTGAGTAGTTCTCATGAATCCATGTGGAAAGTGCAGTATTAGTCAGAATTTTTTTTTAATAGAACAAATTTGAATAGGTGCACATTAGTGTTCCTGAGAGAAATCTGCTTCTCCAGGGAAAATGAGTCCTTATCTCCCCTGATTTGGATAAGAAAATGGAGTTTTGGGATCTAGTACCATTTTTAATCCTGACTTCTTTCCTGCAGGTCATGGTTCTATAACTAATTTTGCCTGCTGCACTTAAAATTGATTGTGAGCTGAAAAAGTAAAAACAGGAAAAATTACCGCCTTCAAGTCTGAAAAGTCGATGTTTCAAATTTACTAAAACATTGTGAAGTTCAGTGTCCAGAGAATCAGGTAGACCTACACAGATAAGAAGAAAAGTTATACAATCAAGCAAAATTAGGCTTTGCTGATACAAACACTTCCTTGGATAAAACTAATATTCCAAAACTAACTAGCACCCAAAATATTTTTTTTAACATCATCTTGCATAAAATAAATATTTCCCCAGTATTTTTTCACAGTGGTGTTAACCTATACTAAAGGGAAAAAAAAAAAAAAAAAAACACTCCAGCCCTCAGAAATGGTGAGAATTCCCCTTTGCACAGAAGAATATGAATTTCCTATGGCACCATACCACCATCTTTTTAATCTGCTGATTGAATGTTTTGTGTTTTTACAGTGGGATCTAATTTAATGGAAACCATAAATACTGGTGTAGTACTGTTTCTACATGGACAATCTAAAATACAGTCCATCCAGCACTGCTTGATAAAGATGGAAACTCTCTGCAAAGGTACATTTTATACCCATGGAAATTTGTGTGAAAGTGTTCTAGAAGTAGAAGAGAGCTACTAGTGTGCTCAAATGATCACGTTCCCATTGTTCATAACTTAAACAAATGTCAATGTAGAAAGACAAAATACCTCCCTCTCTCCAAATGGCAATGCTGTGAATTCTACTGTACTTCACAGTCAGTAAAAAATAACATTTGACCCAATAGAGTCCAGTTGACTTGACAAAACCTTATATGGACTTCAACCTTTTTCTCAAGGTGGTCCAATATGCCAATTTTTCCCCTTTCTCACCTTAAGGCTAAGGAAGATCATCTCTTCCAGAGGGTATTGATAACCTGTTCACTTTTCCTCTTCTCCCAGAAGAGAGAGGAGGCCTACCTTTTAGAAAAATAAAAGCCAATAAACTGACCATTTCCTCCATTCAGCTTTCTTTCCTCTGTTTAATGCAGCTGCTTCCTCGAGGACACATGTCCTTCTGTGTTAAGTGTTTTTATTCATGTGGCCTTCATTACAAGGATTCGTTGCAAAAAAATGAAAGTTTACTTGCCTGGTAAACGTGTCTGTCCTTTCAGACCATTTCTTCCAGGCAGTCCAGGGATACCAGGTGTCCCTGGACATTTACGCAGTGCATGGCAAGTCACTAGCAAAGCAGCTACTGCTGTGAGCAGGTAGGATGAGTAAAACATGATTGCTCTGGCCAGCTGTAAGAAAACCCACGTATTTGTCAGGCAATTATTCTGTAAGAAATTGTAGGCATTGGCTTATACAATTGAACTTTTTTTCTTCCTTCATCCCTTCTTGAAATTTACAGCCTTTCCTTGTTTAAGTAAAGTCTGTAGTTCAGGTATAAGAGATTTCCCAGATTTATTTTATCCAGATTTATTGATAGGATTTTAAACT